AGAGGCTTGAACTTTGAAACTCGTGCAATCGGGGGCAGTTGCAAAACTTCATCATCCTCAGAACTTGAAGAGGAGTCTGGTTGCTTAGGTTTAGCTAGTTTAGCAGCTTCAGCTTCTTTCTTCCTCTTCTTGTTCTCCTTCTTCAATTTGTGAATCTCCCTTTGCAAATTCTCGATCTCAACTTCCTGAGCTATACATTGTAGTGCCACAGCATCTGGCTCTTCCTCTTCTAACTCAGCCTCAGCCTCTTCCGCAGCATCTCTAGCAGGAGTTTCCTCCTCTCGATTCGCCCATCTAGAGGTTTCAACATCATCAGTACGGTTCCTTTTCACCATCCCACTAGTTGCATGCATGCCTCTATCAGTAACTAAACATGCTTATAACGTTCTTACTGAATGGTGCAATCCAACTAATCCTACATAGGTCACTTCGGATCTACTAGAAAAGTCTTTGTGTATGCAACCTGAATCAAAAAATCCAATAAAAGTTGGATAGGAATCGCTGAGACAATTCCTCTGATACCAAATGTAGCGCACTTGAATTTGGAGCTAAACTCCAAGCCCTTTGCACTGCAAAATGAGGGTCTGGTACGATCCCACAAGCACCAGCTCCCCATATCTAGCACTTACACGCAAAATGGTGTCAAATGGAGTCTCTCCAAAAAGGGAAGATGATTTATGTGTTTGATCCTTCGTCCCCGACAACTCTCTTTTCGGTCTCATCTTTGATTAAACCTCAAGCTTGCTTTCGCACTGCCTTCAATCTAATCCAAGAAAAGTTTATGACAGAGCATAGCAATGATTACATGAATCAATAGACTCATCCCTACAGTCTTGATTGATCCACTTGTAATCATAAGAAGGATCCACCAGTGTTGTGCTAAACAACTATGAACCAGTGTATTTGCCACTCACAGCAAACTCAGGGAAAGTTTACATTCACTCATGGTATATGGAACAACTCATGGAACAACTGATAAGCTAACATTAATCATGCCAACTCAAAACGTATCCTCAAGTTGCTAATGCACCTCACTCACGAGCCCAAGCTCAAACTCATGCAAACAGAATAACTCAATCCCTCTTATAAGCCTAAGAGCAAGCTCACACTATATAGAACAACAAGGTAACAATATCCATACCCAAGAAATAATTGCGAAGTCTTAGCACCCAAACATGTACCCACTCAGATCATCATTTTCATCTCTGCGTATGCAACAAGACTAGTTGCCCAATCTCATTGTATAGTACTCGCTGAGACTCATCCTCTGATACCAAATGTAGCGCACGTGGTTTTGACCCTTTATCCTATGGTGATTTACCATAGGATAACACCATGAAGCAAAACCTAAACCCTCTTTATGCCATGTGTTATATGTCATGTGTCCAAATGACAGTGGTGTAGAACCCGAAGTTCAAGGCCTTAGGCCATTGTACGAAGGAACAGTGCCAAACTCCCAAACATGGAGCCAAGGAGTGATAGAACCGAATCACAGAGCAACTTCTGAGCATATAGCCCAAGGAGCGAAGGGACAGGAGCCCTGAGCGACTTGGAACAATCCTAGAGCAACCAGCATCCTAATGCTAGGATCAGCACACAAAACAAAGCCAAACAGAGTTTGGCACTATTTCAATATACCAGTGGTCTAACACAAGGACATGGGTACTCCACTAGCTAACATGGAATGGAACTTGGGCTTAAACCCAAGCTGGACGCAAAACAAATACAAGCACGCAAGCAAGAGCTAGACTATGCCTCAAGTTGGTCGGCCATGCTCCACCTACCCACTATCCCTACTATACATTTGGAACCCCTCACAACCCCCCCCCCCCCCCCCCCCCAGAGCGACTTGGAACAATCCTAGAGCAACCAGCATCCTAATGTTATCATCATCACATTGGCTGCAAAGATTTCTTTTAACCTGGAGAAACATTATACGATCATTATGGATTACAAGAGTATCTCCAATCAAAGAACGATGATCC